TTAGACATAATGACAGGAGAACATCTGGATACATGCCCTGCATTACAGGACATAAGATGTTGCTTTAATGAAATGGACAGCTATTATACTCGGAGAGCAAAATTGTATTGGACTGCAAGAGCACGCATGGCTAACGAAGCAGGCGTAAGAAAAAAAAAAAAACTATCGCTTAATATAATCGACAAAGGAAACAGAAATTAATTTAAATCTTCATTTTTGTTTGGAACCGACATATTTACAAATTTCAGTAAGCTGTATCTTTGCTAAAAATTGTGATAATTTTTTTTTCCTTTGGTAAGGAATTTAGTAATGGGCATAACCAAGGGAAAAGTGTGTAGTTTTTTAATTATTCGCAAATAAAGTTTGTTTTCCTGAATTTTCGGGGTGATTGGCCTGAAGGAGAAGGAAGCATTCGAAATAGGTGGCTCAATCTTGAGATTTGGTGAAAAATTAACGATGATATGGCTTGCCGATCAAAAACACCATCGATAAATAATATAAACTCCTCCTCTCTCGATCATAGAGACCTCAAGTCGACGAAATGAGACATGTATTCAATGGCAGTTCTACAACTAACGTAAGGTTGTGTGGATGCGAATTCTATGCCTTGCTTTATTTCGATAATAGTACGTTTTGGGGCTTAAAAACGCAGGATTCGATAGTTCCGAAGGAACTATCCGGGTCTTGCTGTACGCATCAAAATCTTCAAGATCCAACTTGTCCCGTATCGATCTACAGACCTACCACCGTTCCAGTATCGAAGCCTAGCAAAATGTTTGTATCGACTTTATTTATTTTAGAAAGAAAAACAAAAGTTGAGAATACAATTCACTAATCCTCTGTGAAATTCTGAATCCAACGGTACCCCATTCATGCTATTTGAGCATGACAGGAGCTTATATTTGGTACAAAACTGATTTCGAGCCTTACTGTAATAATATATGTGGGGCTTTGGGTGGTTTTGTTTATTAATTTTATGTGTATTGTACTTTTATCTTCCTTCTTTAATTTAGGATCAACAGAACCATATTGTCGTAATTGGTTCATCAATGTCTCCGTTGAATTAATTTTGTTCTTGTCCAGCTGATCTTGAATATGAACTGGCAGTCCTACAACTATATGATTGATTCTTGATCGATCGGTCATGCCTTTGTAAATAACCTAATTAAAGTTAAATGTAAATAATTAGTTTTGACAGGAATAGGGAATAGCCTTCTGCTTTTTATCAGGGAACTAGGTTATTTACACTCGAGATAATTAAAACACAACCCCGGCATTGGATATAGACTTTTTGAGGGTGTTTAACTGTTGATGGGAATTCGGGAATCTAATATTTTAGTGACATTGAGTGAGAAGAAACAATAAGAATATATATTTGAAATGTGGGACTAAGTAAATACACTTTGAATGAATTGACTCACCTGGTTTGTTATTCTTCAATCGTGAGGCATATAGGACAACTAAATAAATAAATGACTTTTCACTCCTGTATAATAAAACAATTTATTTTACAACTGTAATAAATGAATGTATAAAAGTCTTATAACTGTAGGCTCGATTTCTTAGTCTTCAATGTAGTATCTCTCTCTCCTGACAACCTCCTTTCTTGCTGTCCAGACCTAGCGTCCTCTCACCTCCGTGTCCTAACCTCAAGTGCCTCTCCAGCTGTTGCTAGCTACCTGCTCTCCTTTTTCCAGCGTCCTTCTTCATCGATTGTTTATCGATATGAGACTTTTCCATGAATAATTTGTCCACTGCATAATTGAGTACAATTCATCGTGCAACCTCACATTCCTATATATTCCTTCTCATTCCCTCACACAATGTCACATAAAGGGGTAAATACAGGGGGCTGTCTACTACACCTTATTCTACTTCTAACAGCAGTCTCTCTTTTTTTAAAGCATAATCCATAAGGGATCCACTCAGAAAGTGAAAACTATACGCATAATTGAATGTCTTCCAACTTTAGTCAGCGTAAGTCATTAGAAATGAATAACGCCAATCTATCCCCTTGCCATCTATGGTTAACTTCATAAGCATAGCATTTTACCATTTGATATCATTTTCTTCTAAAAATATATGTAAAAGCTGTATTTTTTTGTTATTGTTTTTCACATCGTAAGCTCACATTCTTGTTCATACCTCAATAGCCGGTCAAGTGAATTTTTATTTTTACCCTGGAATCTGTTAATAACAAACAACGATGAAATTCGTGATAAATTTAATTCCTTCTTTTCAAGTTGAATTTTAAATTTTGGACTAATTCGAGTAGATCTGTTTGACTGGTGGACAGTTCAGTTCTTGCAAGAATTTTTAATAGTACTTACTTTAAATAATTGTTAATGGTGTTTTTACTTTCACTTACGTATATATGTAATATATAGTAAGGGTAAGTATTGCGATAGTGAAAATTTTCGAATCTCAGTTTTCAACGGAAATACATGTTTTGAGGTCCCCTGAGTTCAAATAACCAAGTGTCGCAAAATGGTCTGTGTGTGTGTGTTAACAGTCTAGCTCATAAACGAAAAGTAGTACGAAACTGATATTAAGTATTTAAGGTTTGTATATGGGCCGGATGTGACAGCAACTTTTTCGTTAAAATCGGCTAACCGGAAGTGCCACTTTATATGAACGCTGAAACACATTTTTACAATTTTCTCAAAAACGACTAACGATTTTGATCAAACTCGGTGTATCATTGTATAATTAAGTGGTCTTTAATATCATTTAGGTCTTATCCCCGTTGATGTCACTTTACAGGGCTTAAATGCCCAATGTTCATATATGTCTTCCTCTAAAGTACCTTTAATATGGTTTATTTTAAAAAGTTAACCATTTCGCATTATTCAGAGTTACGAAAAAATGCTACATATAACTTTTGAAAGAATTCGATAAATTAATAAAGGAGAAAAAAATAAAAATGCAGAAAAACCTGCGTTCCTACAGACTGTAGCGCCTAAACGAATGTACCGATTTCAATGAAACTTCGCTAAAGTCATTTTCTCGATACCCTTTAAATTTATCTATATAACATACTTCAACGAAAAGAAGCTGGAAAAAAAGTTACGAGGGATGTTAAAATTAAATTCCGAATAACTCAAAAAGTATACGCTTTTTTGTTGATATTGTATATGGTTTTTTAAAAGTTTATGGAATTTCCTAAAAAAAAAAAAAAAAAAAATCGTTAAAATCGGACAATTAGGAGGAAAGATATGGTCTCTAGTTTTTTCCCTGAAGAGGTGAAAATTTGGATAAATTTAAAATATATTTTTTTAATTGTTGAGACTAAAAAAAACTTTTTTCTACAGATATTTAATAAAGTGTCTTTCCTAAGAACATCTTTCATAAGAAAGTAGTACCTAAATTTATACTTTTATTCTCAGTTCTATATTTCAACACTGCAATCACCACCTCTGGAATCAACTTACTCATTGTCTGCATAGATAACTTTTTCAACTAAAAATATCACTAAAATGACATCACTCAAAAATGTTGAAATTGGAGTTAGTCATTCTGTGGTTTATAAAATCAGATATAGTGAATTGATTTTTATTGCCTGTCTTCCATTTATTAAATAGACATTTTGTAATTATAATAGTCTTAATGACTTGTTATCTGTAAGCTTTAAGCTTTAGCTCCGTTTAAAATGCATTTCAAAAAATTTTATATTAGCCCAGCATTGCTAGAAAATAATTTCTATTCAAAGTAGATCGGTAAGTGAATGTTGTGTGTTGTGCGCACCAGATTTTTCATTTTGTACCTCAATCGGGAATACATATGATGTTTCATTCGTTAATAGCCTGATGCTTTTAACTTTATTTACCAAATTTCTCCAATCATCTTCCTTAAGGATATGGAATTTTACTTGGTGTTTCACCTTGAGAAAAATCTGATTTATAATCTTGTTTAGTGTTAACTGTAGATAAACTATAGACTGCTTCTGCTTCTACAAAACAAGAATTTATTAATTATCTTTATTAATTACAATTTGAAATTAAGTAATGCATTAAATCTTAAAACTATACCTAACTACAAAACAAAATCAGTTTTTATAGTTTTTAAGTACAATGAAACACGACACTAAACACTTAATAATTTGAAGCCGCACCACATGGTTATCCCCATCCAACATCATGTGTTAAATTCATTAATTAAATAATTAACCCAAAGGTGGAGATTCGTTAGAACCTTAAGCTTCTTTATATATATATATATATATATATATATATATATATATATTACGCTTCCGGTGCTTTAGTTTAAACTTCGTCGGATAACCGTTAGAGATGACGCCACCTACCCATCTCTTCTCTCTCCCCCTCCCTTGCAACGACTTTTATTCTCCCTGCAACACTTAAGGAGACAGGTAGTACTTCTTTTATTTCTTTCTTATTTCAGCTTTCTCAATTTCTTCCCTCCTTCCTTTCATTCCTTTTCTCTGTTTTTAACTCTTTATTATATTATACATTGTCTGTACATCTTGATAGACTTTACAATATCTCAATTTTCTATCCAACTACTCCATTCTCAATGTCTTAATTTTACTATTTATTTTCATTTCTTATATAACTCCATATTTTTTTCTTTTTTATGTTTTACATATTATTCTAAGATTCCCATTGTAACACTTAGGTCACCCTTTTTGATTATGCCTCCTTCATCATTCCACACTTTGTAACGGTTATTATTATTTATCTCTTAGTTCTTAGTCATTATTCTAACAATTTCATTTTACTTTATATTTATTTATTTTATTTTTTATTTTATTTTATTTATTTTTTTTTTTTTTTACCATCACTACTTATGTTTCTCATACCTTGTTATCTGGTTATTTTCTTAGCCCTGATGAAGGCCTGAACTTCAGGTCGAAACGTCAGCATATGTAAAAATAAATATTATCATTTATTTTTGCCTTCTTTTTGACTGACCACCCCAACTATTCTTCTCTTCATTATCCACGACAGTTTACCATTTACCAATTACAATTTGAATCCCGCCGTCAATTTCTTTTTTTAGAAATAATATAATTTAATTTTTTTATGATCACTTGCAGTTATTTTTATGATAATTTTTAGTCATTTTCCTTTTCCGAAATGAACAAATACGCAAGAAAGCGAAGTGTTGCAGGATTGTCGCTACAATTTTGCATTGCTATATGCCGGAAAGGCATATTTTCCGTTTATTAGAAGTTGAATAAAAAGGTTAAGATGCAATTTTGAAAGCTAAGATCTTGTAGGGTGACTCAAAACAGAATTTTAAACAAATTTATGCAACAAAAAAAATCCATTTTTCTGGACTTGTATTTATTCAAGTTATTAAAAAAAGTTCTGTTAAATGAATTATGCCTGATTCTAATGTGTTGTTGGTGTACAATAGGCCTACATAGCCACAGTGCACTCATGCTGCTTCTAAAAAAAAATGTGTCGTTAGTTTCAATAGCTATGAGTAAAGTCATTTTATAGATTGACTTTTTAGCAAAATTGGCAGAACTTTCAAATAAATGTTTTTTTGTTTTTTTTTAAATAAAAGTTCTATAAAACCTTTACTTAAGAAGTTGAAAGGGAAAAAGTTTTTCAACCGAAGTTTTTCGAAATTTTTCACACAGGCCTACTAGTCTTATATAAATACTTTTCTGCAAAAAATCGGATCATTGTTTATATAAACTTTTTTGTAGCTCTTTAACTCCACTATTATCCCTTTTAGTATTAACCTCCACTTAAAGGATTCTCTGTATATTTATTTTTTATTAATTTATCCATTTCAATAAAAATAGAAATCATGACCAAAATAATTCTTTCTCAAAATCCAGTGAATGATAACTAAAATCTTAATGAAATTCATTAAAAAAAATATTGATATCATTTAAAAGAGACAAGTCATACCAAATAAGTCTCCATTATGATGGTAGTTGTCATGCATATCTGTGTGATGGTCAGCAATAGATAATGATCAACTTTGAACTTTTTTAAAATATATATAAATCATTGTATGGGAACGAAAATCTTAATTTAACTGTTTATAAATCAACTCTTTTTAAATTTTTGTAATAGAGTAATTATTCCTTTATTTTTCATTTTATTGTTTATGTAATAGAAATGAAATGAAAAAAAATATATATATATATATATATATTTGATGTATACTCATATTCTATAATTTATTTTATGTTTTTTACTTCTTTAAGTACCTTAACTAAACTTGAATATTATTTACAGGTATGCAATGAGAATTTTGAAGGAATTTCTAGGTATTCCAAGGGATTCCATAATCGTATAATATTACTTTTAGTTGTACTTATTCAAATATGTGATGTGGAAAAACAATTTGTTTTGTTAAAATTATTATGTTCAGTTATGATTCAGTCATCGCCAACATTCACGCTTCTGGTAGGTTATCAATCTCTTAAGTTTAATTTTTTTAAATGATTGAACAAATAGTTTTAATCATCAATTCTAACTCTTTATATAATTTTTAATACTAACTGTAATTAGCTACTATAGCTGAACATTGTAGGTTGTTGAATTTTGTTTTTGCATGTACAAAAAGAATATTGGTGGCGATATTGTTTACAACAGATTGAATATTTGGAGTAGTTGGTTTGCCATGTGGTCAGAGATGAAAGTACACCTTTATTTGAAAAGTTGCATTGGAAAAGTTCAAGTTCCAAAGTAACATAAAATATGTTGAAAATAAATATTCCAGTCATACTGATACTGATTAAAAATAAAAGTAAAATTTTCATTTAATTACGTCAATTTTCATTCAATTTACATCCTGATTTTTACCAATCTTATTAATTTTAATTTGTATCAATCCCTTATATTATATTTTATCAAGCCATCTGATTCTTTTATTAATTAAAGTCCAGTACCTATGATGTAAATTCCAATCCCCTCACTCTATCTCTTTTATGTATTTTACTTCCATTTTCAACCCTTAACTGATGTGATTCTGGTATTACTGCGTTATAATCACTCTCTTCACATCTCCATGCTCTTATTCACCTATATCTTATCCTTTTTTATGTTGTGATATTAACCATATCTTATTATTGTCTATCTTACTACTTATTCTTTTGACTTATAAAATAACATTTTATTTCACTGTTATCTTGCTTTATAACTTCTTTTATTTCATATCTTACATATTGTATATTTTATTGAAATTCATTAATTTATTTTAATTTTTTATTACTTTCATAGGTATCCTAATCATCATATAAAAAAACCTATTTTTTATTTTTTTTTGGCATTACAGGCCGCCTTAACAAGCCTGCTCCATCATTGCCTGTCTTGGGTCATTTCTTTCCATTTATATATATGCAGCTCTGTAGCATCTTTGTTGATTCTATCTACCCATCTGTTTTTTGGCCTCCAAGTTTGTCTCTTGCCTACTACTCTGGCATTCATTGTTGTGTAAAGGTGTCCTGATGGATTGCTACGACCTACATGCCCTGCTTATCTTAACCTACGTACCTTCATATCATAGGATATTGATTGACCAATTTCTATAATCAGTTCTTTATTGGTCTTTCTTCTCCATGTGTTAGTAATCTGATCTCAGACCACTCCAGTTATCGTGCGGAGGATTCTTCTCTCAAATACCTTTTTCTTCAATACCTTTTTCTAGAGTGCTGGTTAGTGTCCAGGTCTCACAGCCTTATATTGCAACTGGCTTTATCTTTGCATTTTATACCCTTAATTTGAGATTTTTCAGGATTTCAATACCTTTGAAAGGGAGAAGATAGCTCTGATTGTGCTTGTTATACGCTGGTCTATTTCTGCCCATTGGTCATTCATTGAGACTATCGGGAATGATTTTCCTCCTTTTGTAAATTTTCAGCTTATTATCATGTATTTTGTTTTGTCTTTATTTATTGTAGGCCGATCTGCTCTGCTTTTCTTATCAGAGTCGTAGTGAGTTTCTCAATGTCCTCTTGATTACTTCCAAGGATAGCTATATCATCTGCATATCCTAGAATTTTATGATTCATTCCGACGTGGACCCCTCCATTTTCTTGTGATGATGTTCTTATTACCTTCTCCAGTGCTCAGGTGAACAACATCGGTGATAGTACATCTCTGCCATCAGGCTGTTCGAACTTTAAAGGCTTCAGATACTTCTTCTTGTACTTGGACTCAACATTTGGGTTCATTTGTACACGCCTTTGTCAACCTCACCAAATTACTGGGAACTCCCAGTTCAGTCATGATTTTCCAAAGACAGCTCCTGTCCACAGAATCATACGCTGTTTTAAAATCGACAAAAAGGGGACGTCCTGAGCTACTTCCCATCATTTTTCAAGTACTTGTTTTAGGATGAAGATCTGATCTGGTGTGCTCCTCTCTTTTCTGAATCCAGATTGGTGGTCGCCTATTATATTCTCGTAATACTCATAATAGAATACATCCAGTTTAGTAGGATATTGATCATAATCATGTAGGCAACCGGAAGGATTGCTATGCCTCTGTAATTACTACACTCATACTTGGAGCCTTTCTTTAGGATAGGACAGATTAGACCCATATTCCAAGCCTCAGGTATCCTTTCCTCTTCCCATATTTTCTGGATTAGTTGTAGTAGCTTGGTTCTTTAAGTTGTCTTCTCCATCTTTAAACAATTCTGGTGGTAGGTTGTCTATCCCTGGGGCCTTTCGATAGCTATTTCTACATCCAGTATATCTGGTTTTTCAACCTCTTCTGAGTCAAGGTCCTCAGTGTGTTCCATGCCTTTTTCGTTCTTGGGATTCCCTTGATTAAAAAGTTCCTGGAAATGTTCTTTCCAGATGTTCAATATCTTTTCTTTAGATTCCATCAGAATGCCATATTTTCCTCGCATTTGCGTATTTCTCGCTTTATATCCTACCCTTTCTTTCCTAATGTCTGCGTACATCTCCAGCCTGCCAGTTATTCTCAATGGTTTGCAATCTTTCTTTGAGGAATTCCTATTTGGCCAATCTTACAGTTTTGTTTGCCTTTTTCTTGGTAGCTGTGAACTTGTCCAGAGCAACTTAATCAATTGTAGTTAGGCACAGGACTTTCATTTTTCTTCTTTCCTTTACTGCCTTTTCGCATGCTTCTGTGAACCACATCTTAGCTTCTCGTTTCTCCTGAATACCGATCACTTCCTTAGCTGTTTCCTATAGTCCTTTCTCTATTTCCTCCCAGTGTTGGTCCACCGTGAGGCTATCCAAATCCAAGGGTTCGAATTTATTTTTCAGCTCAAGTTGGAATTTGGTTTTTACTTCAGGATTTTTCAAATTACGGACTTCACACCTCCTTCTTTTCACTCGATCCCCTATTGTGTGAATTCACTTCAATCTCTGACATAGTTTAATTCTAACCAGAGAGTGATCCGAATCACAGACTGCTCCACAATAGCTTCTTACATCTTGTATTGAGCTCTGATGTCTCTTGTCTACCAGCACATGGTCAATTTGGTTTTTCACTCCTTTGGGGCTAACCCAGGTATACTTGTGGATATCCTTGTGTAGGAAAATCGTACTGCTGACGACTAGACTTTTATTTTAGGTTCTGCCAGACTGATAGATCTCACTCCAATGTCATTGCTATTATCGTGAATTCTTTGGTCTCCCATAATGGACCTGAATTAGGGTTTGCATCCTATCTTTGCATTGAAGTCACCTATGACAGATTTTATGTCATGCCTATGAGCTTGGTCCACAATATTTTCCAACTGATCGTATAAATCATCCTTCATCTCTTCATCTTTATCTTCGGTTGGTGCATACACATTAATTATCATGATATTAAACCAACCAGCTTTAACTCATAATACACTAATCCTTTTGTTTATCAGAGTGAAGTTAATGATTGTTCTCCTTGCTGCTGGACTAACTATAAATCCCGTGACGGCTGTCATATTTTTATCGTTGCTCCTGGAGTAGAATAGTGTATGGCCGTGGGTAATGGTTTCGCCACCATCTATCCATTTTTCCTCTTGAATGGCTGTTACCGGTATGTTATACCTTTTTAGTTCCTTGACTACCCTTTTTGTGGCTTCTGGTCTGTATAAACTACATACATTCCATGATCCAATGTATAGTCCGTGATTCAAAGCCGAGGTCAGTGCCATGTTTAAAAAATATATATATATATATATATATATTTTTTTTTTTTAAACATGGCACTAATACATAACATATATAAAAAATAAACATAAATAAAATTAAACATATATATATTAAATTAAACATATATAAAATATATATATATATATATATATATATATATATATATATATATAAGATAAAGACCGGAGACTGGCGATATCAGCCTTAATACCATCTTGTAATGTAAATAAACATAACAATTGTATATAAGGCAGATTATTGAACGAATAAAGCAGTGTTTATTCAGAAGCCGTGAGTATTGTTTCTCGATCCTTTTTCCTTCTTTTTTTTTATTTTTAAAGTCCGCCGACGCTTAACTGGTGCCGAAACCCGGGACAACGTCAGGAGAACACGGAAGTAAAATTTTTTCTTTCTTTCTTTTCATTTTTTTTTCTCTTCTCCTAGTCATAAGGAAAAGGCGAGATGCCGACAGAGGGCTTGATTCGACCAGGAGTGTTGAACGCACCTGAAATTCCGCAACCTCAGGAAATGCCGATAGCGCAGATCCCTCAGATCGCCCCTCAGGTATACCTCAGATACCTCAAGTACCGCAGATACCTCAGATACAGGAGATCCCTCCCTTACCTAGGGACACATTGGCGGAGGCGCACGCCAATGCATTGGAGTGGATGAAGATAAGGGCAGCGACCACGCAGGATCTACGGAGAGCAATCGCAGACCTGGAACGATTCGGGGCGAGGTAGGTGAGCTTAATCACTTCTTGAAAGGTGGAGACCGCCTCATGTCAAGAATCGAAGCAAAGGTGGCGGAGGACCTTGTGAACCTGGGAGACGCGGAAGCACTGAAGGCAGCTCTCGTGTGCCGAGTGAGGAGGAACATTCTCAACCAAATCCAAGCGGACGAGGAGACACCATGGCCAGTGATCAAGGAGCGTTTGAAGAAGGCTTTTGGAGGGGGCCGATGGACGCCGGAAGAAGATATCTTTCAAATGTTCAGGGAGCGTCGGTCCCAACGCCAGACAAGAGGACAGTATGCGGGGGTACTAGTGGCGAAGTACAACCGCATAACTGAGAAAATGCGTGAAACCATGAGTGTGGGAGAGGTCGAAGCCAGGATGGAATTCCTTTCGACAATACTCAAGGTTCAGTTGGCTAAGGAGACTGGGAGGAGGGACGGACTGCCTAGAGAGCGATCGTTCCTCGAGTGTGCCCAAGAAATGATAGATCTGAGTGCAAGAGAGGAAGAGACTCGGATGGAAGTAGAGGAACCAGGGTGGACCCGAGTGAATGACAG